TGTTTCCCTGTATGTGTCATCCTGTTAGGATGTTTGAACCTCTGATTGAAGAAATACTCTTCCCATACTGCTTATTAAAGGTTTTCCACAGGCAATGCTTTGCCCATGGTGTTCTGTGGCTGGTGCTTCTACTGCCTGTGCAATGTGCATTGATATGCAATTGCAATTTTGAATTAATGTGCAATGTGCATTGATGTACCTCCTCTGAGTTCATCGTTACTTATATTTCTCGTTATATTACATGATTACTTTTTGAATTTCTCAATATTGCAAAGAGTTGGTGCTACTAGTCCTACTTTCTTAACATTTTTTAAACTGAGATTTTCCACCTTGAATGGAAGACCTAACCACTTTGTAATTTCTATAATTTTGCCTTCTTTGGTTATTTCTGCATGCTTAAATGCTTTCATAATGTATTTAGAGTGTGGGTCTGAAGAAAGTGAGTTACATAACCAAGATTGCTTTTTTTTTTTTTTTTTTTTTTTTGACAAAGTAAGCAATAAAATAATCTGCAACAAATCATTTCAGTGCATTTTTGTCTGATGATCAAGAAACATAGTAAAGCTGTTTTCAAGGTAATGTTGGAAAACTATTTTTCAAAACGCTGTTTACATATTTTTAACAGTTCTTTTTATGCAGTTACTTATCTTAAGTACCTCAAGCAATACATTATATATACAGGGTGCACCGTAAATGTTGCAACAAACTTCAAAGGGGAGGTAGGACACATCATAAGGATTGATAATTGCAAAGGAGCCTATACCCGGAAATGACAGAGGTAAGTGGTAGCAGAGGTAGAAGATGGGAAAGGAAACAAGAGAATGATTAATTTTAACATTTATTGGACATGAATACAAATGGTGTTTCAACAGCTTGAATGTTACAACAGATGCTTGAAGTCTGCACCATCAGACGCCTAATATGCCTGACACCGATGGACCACTGATTGGCAAACATGTTCAAACACACCGGGAGTTTCTTTGATTGTAGCAGCTGTACAGGCAAGTATTGCCACAAGATCCATTTCAGACACAACAGGATCATCATACACGACACTTTTGATGGCTTCTCACAAAAAGAAATGAAGACTCGATAAATTCAATGAGTATGGGGTTCAGGAAACTGGTCCACCATGCCCAATCCATCAATGTGGAAATGAGCTGTTCAAATGGTTACAAACATCCAGTCCAAAATTAGTCCATGATTTATTTTTCTTTAATAATTTCTCCTTCTTTAATGACCCGTAGTCACACAAATTTTGATGCAGACATGCAAACAAACTGTGGTGTGGTTGATGTCTGTCAGGGAAGCATTTTCAATAAATGTGTGCAGCGCCTTTAGCTATTCCATACACTAAGTACATGTCTGCAAGCTCTCCGTTCAAATAGCAATCCATGGTCTTTGTACAGTGGCTACCACTTGAATAAGGCAATACTCACTTTCCACTAGCATTCTCCTGTAGAGCAACCCCCTGGAGGCATACAGTGATGTTTCTGGGCATGAGTTCCTATGCAATTCTTAATCCTTACGATGTGCCCTAGACATTTGTCACAACATTTATGGTACACCCTGTATTTACACAGAGAGAGTATTTTTAAATTTAAAATTTGGGTGCATTGCTGGGAAAACTAGAGATCAGTGAATGGGCTACTATATGCATGACCTCCAGTAGATCAATCAAAAAACACCTTACTGACAAAAATGTTTTGCATTTCTGAATTGAGGATAAAACATATGCTAATTTTCAGCAATTAAACAAAACTTTTTTTTTGGATCAGAAATTTGGAAAAAAAAAAAAAAAAAAAATCCAACCACAAAGTGGTTAAAGTTTGGGTACTGTCTGATTACCCACACCCCTAGTTTTAACATCTCGTAAAAATATAATTGTTTTGACATATGTTTTTGTATATACAGAATAGCAGCTAATTCACACATGCACATACTATACGTGTGCTTGAATGCACATGAATTTAGATGCTTTATATTTAACTGTAATTTTGCTGAAGAGTACTCAGTGGCTGTAATGTAAATGTTGGCCATACAGGCTTGTGCTTTTCATAAAAGAAAACACTTCTTTTTATTATCATCTGTGAACAACAGAACAGCATGTATAAGCAGTAAAGACAGCAAAACAAAAATGTTTTGCCGATTTGCAAAATTGATAACAAGTTGGTTGATGAATTTGCATCTGGTCATGGTAAACTTGTAAATTACCTGTTTTGTTTTCATGGAGAGGTGGATAATCAAAAAATACCAAACTTTGTAAAGAAAAAAAGAATGTGAATGTAAGACATGTTCAAAAATTCATTTTATGGTGTACCCAGTATTACAAGATGAAGTGTTTTCTTCATTCCACTTTCATAAAAACTGGTTAAATAAAAGGACTTCCAAAACAAAAGCTAAAAAAACCAGCTAAAAAACCTAAGCTTTTTAAAGTTTTAGCTAAAAAAACCAGCTCTTATGTCTTTCCATAAATGCTGTGAGAATCAAACCCATGAGGCAGGCACACACAAAAAGCAATTTCTCTTCTCCAACTGAACTGACACCTAAGAGAATCCCAATTACCAAACTGTTTATGCTGGTAATACAGCTTCAAAGGTTAACAGAATCAGAACAAATCAAATACTTTGAGAATGAAGTCTCATTTTCTTTGATTCATTTGACTACAAGATAAATACAGAGAAGTCCTGCTGAAAGCCTGTGCATTCATTTCAAATATGGTGCTTAAAATAGTAAACCTCAGCTTAGTCTCAAAAATGAACATATTATATACCAAACTTTTTATTTTTATAACCAACTGTAAAACAAACCATAATAAAACATTTTTCAGCATTTCCTTCATAATCACAGAAATTTCTGGACTCTAAAGCAGCTGGATGAGGAATATCCCAAAACAATAAATTTCCATTCATGCAACCTTCCAAAGTATTGTTGCGTGTGTGCGGGTTCGTTACGAATTGAATGCACAAGTCCGATGAAAAATGAACAAAATTTATTATTATCACAATAAATAAAACAAAATGCTTAAATTTCCTCAGATATTCGTACAGCATTACAATATCTCACAGTAGTTAATCTTTTAACTACTCAAACGTTCAACAGAACTTAATTCAAAACAGCTAGAGAAAGCTAATCCGTGAATTCGCTACAGTTAACAGGAGCAGTTTTCTAAACAAACTCTTAAAACAACAACTAATTAACAAATTGAGAGGTTTTCATGCCACATAAGCTTTTTAAATGCACGAGAATGTTCTAGCAATTTCTCAAAATCAAAAACAGATATTTATTTATTAAACGTTAAATGCACACGCTCTTGTATTTTTAATTTTCCCGGCTTAGATTTCTCCATCACGCGCTGTACTGCACGGGGAATAAAACAATTTAATTTATAATTCTACTAACATTAGCTATTTAAATACCAGATCGGTAACAATATCATTTGACACTGAATCAGAAACATTACACTATTTCCAAATCAACAGGCAAACAAATAACTTAAGTACATGTCTAAGTACTGAGTACATGTCTTACTTAAGCATTCTACAACCACTGCTAATACAGAGAATTATCTGATGAGTTTTTTGGATTTTTTTTTTTTTTTTTTAATCTTCTTCTTAAGAGCATGTCCCCAAGCATATGAAATTAAAAGTATAATAGATTGTTTATATATGAATTTCTTGTCTTAGCTTATTCCAAAAAGCATTTTTGGCCAAAAGCATTTCATGAAGACCATTAATGGTTCTTTTTTCATATTAAAGGTTTTCCACAGAAAGAAATTCAATGTTGCTTTTCGACATTAATTTCCTACTGAGTATAACAACTTAAAATCAACTTCATAATTCTCTTTTCAAATTATTTATTTAACTACAATTCTGAACATGTAACACTGAGAGCTTCAACTCCTAAATCAAAGATTCTCAGACAGAGGAAATCCCCGAGGGAAATTTTCTAGCTAGAGGGGAAGATGCAGTCAGGCTTTTGTTTATCTTTTAAATATTTAGTTTTAGCTTGACAATAAAAACTACTTTTATTTAAGTTTTAATATTCACCAACACTTTCTTTACCTTTCCTTGTTTAATTTATAAAACAGATTTAAATAATCTAAATTTAAATAAACATATATGTATTTTTTTAGTTTTGGAAAAAGGTGGGAATGATAGTCTAGCAATGGTAAAGGATGGAGCAAAAGAGGTTGAGAAGCGTACTAAAGAATGTAAAATAAAAACTTTATAAAATAAATTGATTGCTCTTGATTATCAAGGTTTTTACAAAACCTAAAAGGTATCTTAACTTAAAGTTCAATGCAGTAGTCACAGAAAATATTACCTTAATTACCAGAAGTGAACAAAATATTTTTGCTAATGACAGTTAATAAGTATTCTGGTTGATCATTGAAGCAAGATTAACTCATTTTACTTAAATATTAGTATCAATGGAAATATAAACTGTTCAATATAAAACAAAGCAGCTCAGCATAATAGCTCAAGATCAGCGAATTTGCTGACATCAATTTTAGAATAATTTGGGAAATGCACAACTTCTAAGTTCCTGCACAAAAGTTCTCTCAAAAGAAAACCAAATGATTTCTGTGTAATATGTATTCATTTAAGAATATGTAGAATATGCATAGAATATTAAAGAGGAGTACGATTATTACTCCATATTTGACATTAACTCCATAAATAAAAACTGTTTCTAGAATGTACAAGTCAAACTTAAAAGGAAAATTAAAAATAACTAGTATAAATAAATAGTATTGATCTGAGAGATTTAAATATAAATATGAAAATACTCTTAAAAATTATGCAAAATAAAATAATACATGAAATGTCATGGAATGTTTGCAACACATTATCTAATGCTTATCAGTATACTGTAATAATGTGTTTGTAATAATCAAAATCTTATTAATAACATATGTTATAGTTTAATGTATCAATGATAGTGAATATCAGAACAGTTTTTTTACATGAAAAATATTATTAAAATATGTACAGTACCTGTTAATAAAACCAGTAATTCTTGATCAGGGCTCCAAGAATATCCCTCTAACTGAGAAGTAACTAATCCAGTGCAATGGAACTATAGTAAAATATGAAATAAAAAATAAATAAATAACTATGCTTATCCATAAGTGCCTGCTTCTTGCTAATGCCAATATAACATAGAAGTACAAAATCTTGTAAGAAAATTCCTTACCTTTTATGGTGAAAAAAGCTCTAAGAAAGGAATATTTTTAAATTTTATAGTCTGAAACTACTCAAGAAAAGAAGTTCCAATATCTTTCTACCTTCAAACCCTTTTGTTCTTACTTAAAATATTTTTTTATTAGTTCAGAACCAGTTTAAGCTTTTTCTTTAAACAAATTATACATGCTCTGTAAGAAATTTCAATTTTAAATGTAATTCCTCTTTAGCTGCACTAACCAGAAGCATCATAATAATTTAACAATTCAGTCTTTTGTTTTATAATCAAATCACTGTAGCTAGACATTTCCAACATTAAAATTTCACACACAGCGAATTAGGAAGTGTTTCTTCCAATGTTCACTACACCTAAAACATTCTAGTTTTCCTTTCAAGTCAATATAACATCTCACTTCATGATTACAGGTATGACCATTGCATTCTGTGTCCTCCCCCCTTCCTAGTCTACAATGAACACCTTTCTATTCAAACAGCAATAATATATGATGATAAGAAGCATTTTAAGACGTTTCCAAATAACTCCTAGTGAACATTAAATGTATAACTTTCACTGAACTGATCAATTATGTTTAATAGAAATTAGCGGGATATTTTGGCACTGAAGAACCAGTCTTTTTTCAATCTAATTTCTATAAACAATAGTAACAGGTTTAATAGTTGGTGGTTTTTTTATTTAGTGCATACTTATTATGGTTGCTTGAAATTTATATAATTTTATTTACCAGAAAGTTTAATGTGCAGGGCAGTTTAATAAGAATTGCAATATACTTTATAATAATTGTTGAAATAAGAATCAATTATCAAAAGCATTAAAATGAAACTAAAAGCTATCCCATCCAAAAAACAAAAAAAAAAAAAAAAAAAAAAAAAAAAAAATTACAGACACTGCATTATATGTATGTAACACATTAAAAATATAATACACAGAATATTATTAAAATAACAATAAACACTAATATAGAATTAAATGTTATTAAATACAACAATGTAGAACATCTAAATTTTGTCCAATCTTATTTAATATGGCTAATTATATGATATGAAGCTAATTGGAAAAGAAATACGTAAATTCTGAAATGAAATTTAAAACTAGGCAAAAAGTCAACTCCAGATTGGCATAGATTGGAAAAAAATTATCAATTTTAAAGTGGATCAGACATAAATTTCTCTTTTTCAGGAGCAAAAATTTTTACATTTTTCAATTTAACATGTACACTTTTCATACAAAGATACAAAAATTTAGATCTATTTTATAAAAAGGTTCCTGTCACGATTATAATTCACTGTAAAAACACTGTTATTTCTGCTACATATTGGTAAGATAATCTAGTAATAAACTATAAAATTATCAGCAACTTTCTTACGTTAAAGAAAAGAAATTTTAATAATAACTTACCGTCTTTTGATATAAATCATATAAAAACATTCGACCAGATGAAAAAACTAAAAAAATACTGTCTGCTTCAAATATATATTCTATGCCAATAAGATAATGTGATGTACCATTAGCATCTTCACAAAGCTCTGTTAGCAGAGAAACCTTTAAAATAAAAGCAAATATTAGTTCGAAGACACAAACTGTAAATACAGAAACAGGAAAAAAGATTATAAATTGCTTGATAATTTAATACCTACAGCTAAAATCTGAAATATACAGAAGTATTATGAAGGCATTTCAAAGTACTTTAATATTATGTTTTTAAACTGAGAAGTATAAAAAATTATATTTATTTACAATTTATTAACTATATTCTGTGAGAGGTTTTACATTTTACTGAACTTTTACAGTTTCATTATTTATTTTCTGCACATGTAAGATAAAATTTTAATTTGTAATAAACACATTTCAAAATTTTAATAGGGCTATTTTCCTTTCTATTCTAAAAAAATATAATGCTTATAATGATTCTCTCTTAAATGCCTCATTACAGATTAATCCTCATTATATGATTCTTATATAGCACTAAAAAATGTATAAATGCAAAAGTCTTTTTTTTTTTTTTTTTTTTTTTTTTTTTTTTTTTTTTTTTTTTTACCTGATGATATTCTAACTGAACTTTTATCTAGAAATAGAAATAAAGAGATACTCTGCTTATCTACTGAGAAATACAATAACTTTCACTATTATTAACCTAGCATCATTAATATAACCTTTGGCCTTCAAGGCTTGCCTTTCCCAAGATGCAGTACACTTATCATTCTGTAAGATGTAGTTAAATATCACTCTTTCTTTTACTAATTGTAGCACTGCAAATATGCAAACCTATGCTTTAAATTGTTGTAAAACCTGATGCACCAGTCATGGTACTTGGATTGCTTCAATATTTTTATGCTTAAATAAAGATTATCTGTGAAAATAACATGATTGCATCTTCACTGAAGGAAAAAAAAAAAAAAAAAAAAAAACCACAGCTTTTTAATCATCTTCCTGATCATCTATGATAACTTTTTTCACATACATGTATACGAGACTAATATATTATAGAATTTCATGTTCTCATAGACAGCAAAATGTTATTGGAAAAAGAAACTGTTGTCCACAGCTTCTCAAGTACAATATAAAATAATACAAAATGCTAAAACTATTCATTTTCACACCAAAAAATCATTAGTTTACAGAGAACAGATAATTTTATTGTGACAAATTACATAGACTGTTCAAAACAGAAGAGCAAAACTTTTAACAAAAAAACAAAACAAAAAATACAGATGGAATTGTAGGAGAGGTGTATTTGTTTAGAATAAGAACTGGTGCATTGTACTACATACAAACTTTAAAAAAAAAAAATTTTAAATAAAATTAAAAAAAAAAAAAAAAAGAGAGAGAGAGAGGAGAGAAAGAAAGAACAAAATAAAGTAAAAAAGGAGAGAAAGAACGAAAGAACAAAATAAAAGAAAAAATTGTGAAAAGTTTCAGTTTTAATGATCCCTAAAAAGGATTTGTTGGGTTTTTTTTTTGCTTTCGCTGAGTTTGCAGTCTACAAGTTTGTTATTTCACTCACTCCTGCAAACCCACTTTTTTTTTTTTTTTTTGGTGTCTTTAGCTTTATTATTAAGCATTATTGCACTTACACCATATGCAATTATACAGCAAAATTTTAAAAATTTTAAAAGCATAACAGCATATGTTCAGGATATCTGATGCAGTGCTAAGTGTTGGCATACTCTTTTCTACTATTTTAAGTCTTTTCTCATTTCATCTTATCAATGTTCAGTACTCTTAGCAAGATGGCTTGCAAAACTTTTTTTATTATTATATTATTAACATTTTGTGCATTAACTTTATTTATTAAATATGTTCTTTGCACTCATGCCCCATAAAATTCAATTCAACAGCAAAATCACAGAATAGTTAAAAACAGCATATCTTTAGAATTTCCTATACACAGTCTCGTGCACTGGAGATAAAAATATTTTATTCTGTACAATGTTGCCACTGCTCACTTTCAAATATTTGAGTTTGTTAATAAAAAAATCATTAAAATTTTACAAAATATGAAATATAAAATTTGAAATTTAAAATTCGGGCTTCCAGGTGCACATTTTCAGTTGAGGACTAATTTATTCAAAATTTGATGGCTCTAGGTATCGTCGTTTTTTTTTTTTTTTTTTCCAACATACTACTGCATTCTGTGGTTTCATGGGTTTGGAGTGACTGATGAAGAATCAAAACACAATTTATTCCTCAGGATTACACAGGGCAGTTCCAAAGACACGTTACAGTTGTTGAAAAACTACAACAAACATGCTGAAACAATCAGCACATGGATTTAGCCAATTTCCAATTAATGCCACAAAATATCTGGTCACTCGGAAAATATATTAATAATAATTAAAAAATATAAGTAAATCACCTTGTCTGATATCCTATCCAAAACAAAAATGCCATTATTAGATGCAAAATATACAGTTCCATCATTACCAAAGCAATAACAATCAGCTTGTCCAGCAAGTCTATGATGACAACTTAACAATTTCAAATTTTTCATTTTCTGTTAAAAAGAAAAGAAACATCAGAATGCATACTATACAGTTAAAGACATAATATTAACATCACATGGATGACATAACACTGATGACAACTGTTACACTTATAATGTGATTCATCTGTACTTTTTTGGGGGGAGGCATAATTTTTAACAAGGGAAAAACATTTTTTAACAAGAGAAAAACTGTATAATACTTGCATTCCCACCATGCACAAAAAATTGGTGGAGATCCTGCCAAACTTTCTAGTAAACCTTTAGAGGTACAGATTGCTCTTTAATTATATAAGCATGCATCTTTACTTATTTAGATTAGCATTAATAGCATTTTAACTGTGGGTTATGACCTCAATGGTGTTGCAAAGCAAAATGTGTTGGGGGTTGCAAAAAATTTAATTCAGATATGTAAATTTAAAAAGACATTTTTCACAATCCCTTCATTACCTTTAACTTAATACAGTCAAAAGTCTTTAATCCAGACTCGTCGAGACTTCGGCGATTCCGGATTATCGGTTTTTCGGATTATAGATCATCAGTTTAAATCTGGTAAGATGGCATGCAGAAATTATAAAATTAAAAATATGAAATAAAGAGAAATTATGATCTAAAGGGTATCAAAATTTACAGAAAAAACTTAATATTTATTTGTTTACTTTATTAAACATTTCTTTCAACGCGCGTGTGCGTAAAGCATACATTACGCATAGTCGAAATTAGAAAATTGCAACCAGAAAACTATTTGATGTGTATACGTGATATTTATAATGACGAGAAATTTGATTTAAATCATCTGAAAGACGGAGTACATCGAGATGAAATAGTACATTTAGTAAGGAATTATAAGCCGAATAAAATAAAAACATCTGCCCTGAAAATAAGGATAGTGCTGACAGATCAACTTCCAGTTCATTGTGCTCTGTGACGTCCCCCCCCCCCCCCCTGCAGATAAGCGTGAAATTGATAAACAGATTTCAGAATGGTTAAAGAAACAAATCACCTCTCTGTCACTTTCTTCATGCATTTATCCATTTTTTGCAGCAATTCCACTTTTTGTTTAATGGACATCGAAACATGCTTTTGCTTTGTAGATCCTTTGGCAGCTCCAGGAATCGGAAATTCTTTTTGACATAATCGAAAGTTCAAGCTTACTTTTATAAAATTGCTCTAACAGTCTGCAAAAAATAATAAGCCGGATCCAATTCGAAGATTAAGCAACAATGCAATCTGCAACATTAACTGAAATAAATAATTAGATAGTTTTTTCTCAGCTTATACCATCTGTTATACATTAAACGTGCATGCCTAAATGCATATGCGCATGCATAAATGCATATGCGCATGCATAAATGCATATGCGCATGCACAAATGCATATGCGCATGCACAAACGCAACGCATGTGCAGAAAGTTTGAAGCTGTGAGGTCCAGATTATGGATGTCTGGATTAACGACTTTTGACTGTATAGTACAGTGCAGTTACAAAATTTTAATTCTGGCTAAGTTGAAATGTAAATTATATTTGCTTATTGAAAAATACTGCTCAATATTATAATAGCAGTTGCATTACAATTTCAGCACATAAGTTATTTCAGAATCGTAATATGCTACAAATACACAAAATATAATTTCATGCACAACACAGCCTTGCCAAGGATAAGGTCAGCACCACTGCAACTAGAGTAGTGATAATGCTTTTCCAGCATAATCAGTTGTTCTGTTTCATTGCAAAAAGTATATACCTTGCAAGAAGAATATAATATTGTATTTTACTGTTTTACTTGACTAAGTTTTTATTTGAATAATTATTATCAAAGCTTTTATTTTATTATTATTTTAGGATAAAAATATTTTCTACCCATGGATAAATAGCTGAACTTGAGTTAAAAAGGTAATGACACAGATTGCTACAAACTCTCTTCACGCAGGATCTAGTAATCAGAAAGAAGCATCTAAGATCCAAAAAAGAAAATATAATGAGACCTTCAATTAGGCTCAACTTTCAAAGTTTAGGATGGTAATGAATAATCTTCAATCAAGTAATGAACAACCTTTAATTTTCAATAATATTTTGGCTATGGAATTTATGAAACCATCAAAATTAAAAAGGCATCTTGAAATGTACCATCTTTCATACCCCAATAAACCAAAAGAGTATTAAAGCGACTGTTAAAAATCTTCAAATAAAGAAAACTAATATTTTGAGAAATGTATGACTGCTAACAAAAAATATTTATTTGCATCATACAAAACTGTGCATCTGATATTAAAAATAAAAAAACCACATGCCTTCAAGGATCAGGATATTACCTTCTGCTAAATAAATGGTGGAAATACTTCATGGAAGTAAATGTGGCGATAAAATTTGGAAACTTCATTTATCAAACAAGCCTGTTACCATCAGAATTTCTGAAATTAGCAATGACTAATTTGAGTAACTTATTATTAAACCTTAAGAAAGCCCAAAATTTACCATTCAGATGGATGAACAATAAATATCAGTTGTAAGTAAATACACTTTTAAATGAAATTTCAATGAAGAATCATTATTTTGTTGTCCTCTGGAAGCACAGGCAAGAGGGGAAGACATATATAATAAAGCTGATGAATTTTATAAAACTAGAGGTTTCAAATTGAAAACTTTTAGTGAAGTTGTCAAAGATGATACAAAGTGATAACAAGCAAAAATATTGGTCTCACATCATTTGTTGAAGCTACTGGAAATGATCATGGAATTTGCACACTGCTTAATCTATTGAGAGCAGTTTTCAGCAAAAACAAAAGCAACAGAATTGAATGATGAGCTTCAGGATGTATTGAAATTGTTCTCTTAACAGCCATTTATATTCAAATCTCTATAAAGTTATGGATTCCAAATACAAAAAATTTATTAGTATATGCAAAAATAAGATGGATATCAAAATTATTATATTTTTAACTGAATAATTAGATAATTTTTAACTGAATAATTAGAAAATTTAAGTCTGACCTTGCTGCACATTTTCAAAATAATTTAGTTATCAAAGCTGTGCTATTCGTCAGATATTTTTGAGAAATTAAACAATCTCAGTTTGTATATTCATGGAAAAATAGCAATATATTTACTTCAAGTGGTAATATTGAAGGTTAACAGCAGCTAAAACAATTAACAGTTGTTAAACTAATCAATTAAGTTATTAAACAATATTAATTGTTAAAAGATTAACAATTGGAAGAATAGGGTAGAAAATGATTAATTCTTACAGCTATGAAAGCTGTGCTACCTCAATTTTTATATTCAAAGAAAACTAGCAATATATTTACCTAAATTGGTAAGATTGAAGGTGATTATAAGGTAAATTGGTAAGATTGAAAGTTGGAAGAACAGGATAGAAAATAGTTATTAAATCTGTGCTATTTGCCAGATATTTTTTAGAAACGAAACAATAGTCTTTTCAAGGAAAAATAGCAATTTAAAATGTTTTTGACTATCAACAATTTTTTAATTGAAATAAATAACTAAAAATTTGCAAAAATTCTTACAGATAATTTAAAAACTCTAGAAATACAGTTCTGCAAATATTTTATATCAAATTTTAATTTCAAAAAGTTATCTTGAAGCATTTATTTAGATTTACATTAATGAGATTAAACATCTTATAAACTCCAAGGGGAATTTTTTAAGCTATTGCGTGACTCTAACTTGAGTTTCCAAAAAAATGCTTCATTGAATTCTGGATCAGAACTACAAGTGACTACCCAACAATTTTTTAAATGCATTAAATAATGTTCTGTTGTTCAGCACTACATGCTTGCATGAAATAACTGTTTCAGCTTTAAAACTTACTAGACTCAAATAATATTCATGCACTGCAATTTAATTTGTTAAAAAAAGAGCATATTTGTCTCATTAAAATGTGCTTTCTTTAATTAATTTTTCTATACCTGAAACACATCCTAAAACTACTACTTTTCGTATGTATAATGTTTACTAAACAAATATATTATTTATAAGAAAATATTCATTTTTATACCTTTTATAGTAAATATTTTGGTTCATGAAAAATCTCTATTAAAAAAGAGCCATGCATGAAAAATTTTAAGAAGTGGTGATTTAGATAATTAACAGATATAAGTTATGGATATAGCATATAAAAAGCTTTAATAAATAAAAATTTTGAGATAATCTAACAAATAATCTCATTAAAACTTGCTTCAATCACTCCAGCAGCCAAAAGTCCCAAACAATTTTTAGAATAAGAATAAAAAAAAGAAATGAAATTTCAAATTGTGGGCTTCCAGATGCCCATATTCTAGTGAAGGACTACGTTATTCAAAATTTAATATCTCTCGTAGGTGACGTTTTTTCACAATGCGAGAAACATAAATATATTCATGCAGATTTCTCATTATTTAATTTCTTTAAAAATAATGCAGGGCTCTAATATTTGGTGGCAACAATTTGAAAAGTGATATGCCATTTTATACCAAATGATACAAAATGCCAAAGTGAAATTAATAGCTGTTCTGGGCAAATTGCGCCTTTGGGCTAAAAATAGTTATTTTGATGCGAAATCTAAATGATGTGCAACGCAATTTATTGTGCAATTCTGTCAAACACCGGAGTTTTTCAATGTTTCCTGTACGTGTATCAATATAACCAGTTCTATAACTTTGAAAATACTCCACTGCTTCTAGAAAACAGATCCCAGTCTTTAAAATGGAACAATAAAACAGAATAACAGCTAATTTATATCCTTTTTAAAAATTAAGCTGGTTCATTGAAGATTTAGGCTAAATAAAACTGAAGTATGTAAGATTTTAGAAGTGTGTTAGAAAAACCATGCTGCTCACAGCAAACTTTGTGATACTGAAAATTTTTTGTCCCTAACTTCTGCTGTCTGGTGCCCTGTCACTAGCCCTATACTGAGGCCGAATTACTGTCTGGTAATAGATTTTGTTTGTCAAAAATGGTCACAGGAAAAATAGTACATAAGTATCTTGATATATCTATACAGGATAAGTTATAAATAAGGATAAACAACAAAAAGGTAGGAAGGAAAGTATGCAAAAGATTAGATTATATGTGAGGTAATGATACAGAAAAGATACTAGCGAAGACTAAAAAAGAGAGCTGATACTTTTTTGTTATTTCCTGTTGCCAATTTTATAAACATATATGAAATAAAATTTTATGCATTATTTTACAGCTACTTTATCATACTTTCTACGGTATTTCAGAGCATTTTATACTACAAATAACAGTCATCAAATCAGTAAGTGTAGAAATTTTATCATTCTTAATTTCTCATTACATTTTAGCTTCAGCACTTACTTTGCAGCATGCTTACCAGATGCCCTGTATATTTAATACGTAATAAGATAAACATGTTGCTTTAAATCAGTGATCTGCTATAATTCAAAATATGCAATTTTTAATATTCTAATGATTCACTTTTATATCAAATGATCAGAGTCATAGCTAGGGTTTTCAGCACCCAGGGACAACTGAAGATTTTGTGCCCCCTACTGCTTGCCAAGGATGGAAAACATTTACTAATTCTAAAATGTCGTAACATCAGTTTGGCACCCCTTGGATTCTGCGCCTGGGCACAGATGCCCCTTTCTAGCTACACCCCTGCAAATGATAGACAGAATACATTTTACTTTATGCAAAATAATAGTTAAAATAGAGCAGACTATTAAAATAAATATAACACAAACATACTTGCAAAATACTGTTATTTGCAGAATATATAATGTTTGTTGTAGTTTGTAGCATTCATTTATTTCCAATATTAGTATATGCATATTTCTGTGCATACCCACTACATAAGTGGTAAGAACCTAACAAGAGCTTATACAGATGAGCACTACTACATAAGGAGGAAAAATTATAAAATTTTAAGGCTAATCTTTGGAATATGGTAACAGGTAGTTTGGCGACATTTTGGTAAGGTGATAAAGGTTTACGAGCTAGGACTTTAGCAGTGTACATGGATAAAGTCAAGAGCAATGCCATTTTTGTGCAATTCTAGGATGTTTTTTTAAGTGAAAATAGGTCGACGTGTACATGGATGATACCGTGTATGTGGAATTCTTAAAAACGCGGCAAGCAATGGGCGATTCTGCACTTTCTCCCAATTTCGCACCTAATCTTCATTATGATTAAGCACTTTTGTTCCATAAAAGTTCTAGCATAAGTGTAATTCGGCTAGTAGATTGTTGTAAAAAAATGTTGAGTTAAAAAAAAAATGCCTTTACTTCGTAAAAACAAAATGGCATCAAAAAAAAAAAAAAAAAAACTAGCAGGTTGCTGTAGCAGGGTTGGTCGCCAAATTACCATAATCCGATGATTAACCAATTTTAATAATAAAGAAAGGGTGGAACATTTCAGCTCTCTTAAGTTTCTGTTCAAAACAATTTCAGAGTTATTTTATTTGAGCTGATTACATGAGTTTTTGGTGTATTTGATGGTAAAATAAATTTCAAATCATTATTCAATACATTTATTACTTACATAATATTCTAACAACCTTAAACTTTTTTTATAGTAGTAACGATTTTGTATAAAATTTCTTCCCACTTTAAGTAAGTAATAAAACAACAAATGAAATACAAAAATGTTTCTACTTAGTTGAATATGGCAAAACACAAAAAGTTATCTGCTTAAACAGAGACATGCCTAAAATATCTCAAATTCATATAACATACAGGCAAATTCATGAAATGCTTATGCAACAAGCTCCTTTACAAGGATTCAAACTTTTTCAGAAATACCACTATTCAGCATTCTTATACACTTGGCCACTAATATAGCTTAAGCATGGGGAGAGAAAAAATAAAACCCTAGGAACATGAAGCTGACAGCTAAGATTTTGCCCCACTCATTCATTTGAGGCTTTACAATGTATATGTGACACATTACATTTAAGTCCTTATTTGGCATATGTTATTATTATGTACAATGGGCAAAAAAAATAGGGGACAGTTCTATATCTCCTGTTCTACTGTGCCGATTGACGAAAATGAATTTGTATTTTTCATGTCTCGAAAGTGCGACTTAGGATACGTATTAGATTTATATATAGCTCGGGTGGCCAAAGTGTGGCTCAGGGGGCTGATACGGCTCTCGCAGTCAATTTGTGCGGCTCGTGCATATAAAATATATGTATGAAATACGGTAAACTAAAACTATTCAGTGTCCAAAAAGAAGTAATTAATTAGTTTAGACTCTTTTTACAAAGTTATCAGGGATTTCTTTCTATTTAAAACCTCCTCCACTACTTCTATAATGATGTAAATATGAACTTTTGGCTTTTAGAAAAATCTAGATGCAGCTGTTGAACATTCCTGAATTCAAACATGTGGCTCTTACCGACATGAAGTTTGGACAACACTGATATATAGCATTGTTCTAATATACATATTTTGACACAAAATCGAACTTTTTCTGAAATAACATTTGGCTTTTAAAAAAATCTAGATGCAGCTGTTGAACATTCCTGAATTCAAATGTGCAGCTCTTTACTGACATTAAGTTTGGACAACACTGATATATAGCATTGTTCTAATATACATATTTTGACACAAAATCGAACTTTTTCTGAAATAACATACCATTTTTTTCCCCTATATTTGAATTCTACGACTCAAATTATGCCAAACTACCAAGTTTTGTAAAAATCGCACAAGTAGTTTTTAAAAAATTTGCTCTCAGTATTTTAGCTGCTCAATGTTAATCGAGTTTGGTATATATTTATTAAACTTTTTTTAATAAATTTATTTGATTCTTCCTTTCACATTTCGAAATTCAGGTTCATTCCAAATAAAATTCACCCATTTTTTAAGATTTATTTTTAAATAATTTTTATAAATTTCTCAAAAAAATTTTTGAATTATAATCTAAAAAATTTTTACAATCATCTTAAAGTAGACATATTTCTAAGCATACCTGCAAAAAATTGCAGTTTTTTTAATTCAAAATTTCCGGAAATATACTTGAATTTATATATTGACAAGTTTTGAAATTTGGCATATTTCTTGAAAGCGATAAAACATCAAATGTGGTTTAGACATTCTGCTAAAATTATTTTAAAGTAGGAACGATGCGAGTTTTTTTCCGCTCATGCACAAAGGTAGGTACCAGGTGCCTTTTTTACCTCTCTGGTATAATGGAAAGGAAAGGGAAATTGGTTGCCATATATTAAGAAGTTTACCAAATGAATTATTCGGTACTTTTCCGTTTTGCCGGCGCAAGCGATAAAGTCGCCAATAATGGTACAACCGATGCCAAACGGAATATTCTCGCTGGTAACCTTTTAAGCCTCATTTTCAAAACAAGTCGCAGCTTTTTCTTATCAGATTGATTGTTTCTTTCAATACTGGCATATAATTACATAGAATTTTTATCAGATAGTTCAGTTTTATGTCTAAGGCCATTTTCGGTAATTAAGTCAATCAGGATGCAATCACAGCGCTTAACCCGAAGCTGAAAATATAGAAAAGGTAAAGTCAAGTGTTAAATTCATCAATTCTAATGAGAATGCATTAGCAAAGTAAAGCACTGCAGTTTTACATAATTTCTGAGTAAGCTATTCGTACGAATTGAAATATTTCTTGCATTTAAACTTGTGTTCCAAATTAAGATTTAACTTGAAATTAATGTAGATAATTACTGAGAGCATTAGATTTTTGTAGAGTAGTTTACGTGAGATGAGATCGCTTGGGTCACGTGATATAAACCGGCGAATCAGGATGTTGAACCATGAAAGCATAGTAAATTCTTAAATTAATGTCTTTTTACAAATTTATTGTCTTTATTTATTGGCTTTTTATAAAATTTTAAGCGATATTAAAATGTTTATGCCTTCGAAAAAGGAATTCTTAGAACTAACATTTTTTTAATATTTTTTATGTGTATACTGTATGTTGTCGCCAATAAAGTCTGCTTGGCGAGATTTGCGCCGGCAAAACGGAAAAGTACCAATTATTCTTAATGCAAACTGAAAAAAATGCGACAAGATAAATTTTTGAATTTATCCGTAAATTTTGCACCAAATTTTACAAAATTTAATATCTAGGCATAATTTGAATTGTCGAATCGAAATATAGGGAAAATTTGCATGTTATTTCAGAAAAAGTCCGATTTTGTGTCAAAATACCTATGATAGAACAATGGTCCGTTGAGCTTTCGAGACATGAAAAACGCAATTTGAATTTTGTCAATTGGACCAACAGAACGGGAAATATAGAACTGTCCCCCCCTTTTTTTTGTACAGTGTACCTCTACCACTGCAGCACGCACAAGATATTGAATTACGCAAAACAAGCACATAGATAACAAAAAGGGAAAGCAAGATTTTAGCTAAAATATATAGCCCAAATTCTACAGTTTTAGAAATGTTTAACTCATTAATGATAATATAGAGTATATCCCTTCTTTTCGCATAAAGCTCGTCAGAGGGAAAAAGATGTTCGGCAACATATAGTACACATGAAAACATCGGAATCTTTCTGTTAACAGTCTCTAACTACATCCTTTACTGAAAATTAATCTTGGCAAGTATAGCAAATATTTTATTAAAAAATATCCAAAGTTACTCACGAAAAGATTTAAACAACATGCACAAAATTAAAGAATTGCAACCATATTGTTGTTTACTACTAAACAGCAGAAGAATAACAAAACGATTATGAAACGCTTATTTTCTATTATATGCCTGGATTACTCCTCTATTCCATAACATTTAAATGATAGAAAAATAGCGATTACAATTATAATTTTCAACTGCAGTTAGTTGATTATTCATAAACATGAAGTATCAATCAGCAGTAGTGATTGGCAGTAATCCAAATCTAAATTATATATATACACACACTCATATATATATATATATATATATTTTAAATACAATATGCAAATGCGTATCTTAGATTACACTGCAATAAAATCAAAGAGGTAAAATAATATATTCGAAACTAACAAAACATACGATGAAAAATTTGCCCAGTTTCCAGAAATTCAGGACATGTGAGAAAGACAGTGTGTTTCGCTCTTGTTTTGCCACGCTAAGATTTTCTGCCCGCAGAGATGTCTATTTGTTTTGCTGAAGATGGTAGGTAGATGGGTAGAGGGGAAAAATAGTATTCTCATAAAATGCGCAAACTTATATGATTATCTTTTAATAAACGAGAAAACTGCAATCATAAGATACATAAATGTTTTTTAGATATGTGCTTTTGTCTTTTCTTATTTATAAGGACTTGAAAATTTGATTAAGAAAAAAAATTGTTGCTGAAGCATGTGATCTTAATGAAACAAATTTTAATAACAGCTCAATTTATTTTTACATATTGGTTAGACCAATTTTATAATTGGAAAATTTAAATTTGTACTGCAATTTTTAGTTTGCGATTGCCGTATCTGATAACCGCCAACCGAATTAAGTGGAATGACAAAGCTGTTAGGCTTTTGCTAAATTTCGGATTTGTGATTATTTGATCTATAAATTGCTACTTAATTCCAAAAGTGATGTTCCGAAATCAATACGACAACGATGTTACTGTGTGGAGTCCGCAGGGACGTCTTCATCAGGTGGAGTATGCTATGGAAGCGGTAAAACAAGGTTCCGCAACGGTAGGATTAAAAAACAGTACACACTCTGTTTTGGTTGCCTTGAAGAGAGCTTCTTCCGAATTATCCGCCCATCAGAAGAAAATAATACCCATTGATAATCACTGTGGTATAGCTATAGCTGGGTTAACTGCCGACGCAAGATTACTGAGTAAATATATGCGTACAGAATGCCTAACTAACCGCTTTTCTCGTAATGCTCCTCTGCCCATCAACAGATTAGTTTCTCGCCTTGGTAATAAGATGCAAGTATGCACGCAACGCTACGATCGCAGACCATATGGAGTAGGACTATTAGTTGCTGGTTTTGATGATTTAGGTCCTCATATATATCAAACTTGCCCATCGGCAAATTATTTTGATTGTAAAGCAATGGCTATTGGTGCAAGATCCCAGTCAGCTAAAACCTACTTGGAGAAATATCTCAATACATTTCAAGATTGTGATCTAGAAGAGTTAGTGAAACATGGCTTAAGAGCTCTACGTGAATGCTTACCCAATGAAGTGGAATTAAATTCAAAAAATGCATCGATTGCCATTGTGGGAAAAGGGATGGATTTCACAGTTTTTGAAGATGAAAAAGTTGCTCCTTATCTAGCTGCTATTGAAGGAGATGAGAGGCCACGCCGTGGAGGTGGTGCAGCTGGATCAGGCGATTCTCCACCAACAGACAAGCCAGATGACGATTCCAAGAAACAACCAGAACCTCAAGTTGCTGTCGAAACTATGAGTGTGGACTAAAATTACCATACTGTTTCAATTAGCACATCTTACATTGTATCAGTGGTGGTTTAAATAATTGCTGATTTAATAAAAATGTAATTTTTTATAAAACATGGTTTTTTATTAAAAATGTTAGCGGTGACATGCATTATTATTAAAAATGTTAGCGGTGATCTTTTTATGAATAACTGAAAGGTTTGGCACTTATTTGATGTTATTGTTCTGCTTCAGAGAAATTACCCAATTTTTACAATCGAATATTTATTGAATAAAATTTTTCATTTTGTAGAAAAGGTATGCGATATTAGTTATATTTGATACTCGACTATTTATACATATATTTTATTTACAGGTGAATGGGAAAGTTATTTGGCTGTTTGATTCTTCATGTTTAGAGCAATTTTATGCTTAAATAGTGGTAGTGATGAATTTATTGTGAAATTTGGTATCTTTGTGCGTAAAAATTAGAACTGCAAAGATCGAGATTAATTCATATATTGTTTTACTATAAAAATACTTAAGTGTGTATCTTTTGATGTAATATGCTATCGAAGCATTTTTTACTCTCATGCTGAATTGCTAGAAGTCTGCATGGATATATAAATAAATACACATACAATGTACCTAGTACTGCACACTTAAATTTAGAAATTAGAAGTCCACTGATAGTTTTGTTCTTAAAAGAGAAATCCTTGAAGCCTTTAAAATTTATTCTATTTAATAGAAAAGTTTGCATTCCTTTAATTTTGTTAGAATCATTTATACATGAATTAAGATATTTCATGCAATTTTTATTGTATTTCAATCATATATTCAATATTTATTTTACTGCACTCAGATCTGATTTTATATCTTAATGATTTATCAATTCCATCTATCATCCATGCTTTATCATTTATGAATTTGTCTGTAGCAGAAATATATCATTGTTTCACAGAATACATTATTACACTGATAAGTGATTCAAACATACTATGTAAACATTTAAAAGAAAATTTGAAGTTTGATTGGTTAAGGATAATTTTCAAATGACATTCTGTATTATCGTTACATAGTGTTGCTTAAAACAGTGCTTGTTAGGAGCAACTTAATGCAATTTTCTTTATTCTCAGTATTTTACGTAAAAAAAAAAAAAAATCTGTTGTTATTTTAAGTTGCTATATGAATTTAAAACCATCTGTTACACAGATTTTTCTCTGCTTTAAAGTCCAAAAGTTGTTTTGAAGTTTATTTAAAAATTGAAAATTTGTTACTGTTATGATTTGTTGCTATTATATGATATGTTTGTTACTATTATTACCCACATGAATATATTAGACTGACGTATTATTTATTTATTTGCAATTTTAATTTTCTGTTACAAAATAACTTACATTATTTGTATTCACTACAGATTTGTGTGTTAGTTTATGTAATTAAATTGGTTAGTTTTTTAAAATCTAAAACTCAAGCAGTAAGAAAATTTAATCCTTTTGTTATATTTGTATACATAATAGGTCATTCAAACAAAGTTTTAGTGCTAAAAGCTGGTGAGATTTAATGTCTTCAAACTATTATTTGTATTTTGTTTTATTTAATTACTTTTAATGACAGAATTTTATCTTATTGGGGAAAAAAAAAAAAATCTCATCTTCTTAATTAACGTCACCTTTCAAATTTATAATCTGAAATGGATCAATTTAAATGAAAACTGAAGTCATCTGTGAATCATTATTATTATTTTAATCACGATATTAGTAAATTAGAACTGCCTGAGAGTAAATTTTGAAGCTATTCAATTTCTAAGTTTGAAAAAAATGTGCAAATTTATAATTGAAACTATTTTCTCAAACAAATACAGTGAAATTTCTATGAGATGCTATTCTTATAATTAAGTTCTGCTCTCAATTAGTATATCCTCAGCATTTTTTGATTATATGAATGTCTGGTTTTAATATTTGATTGATATAGCTTGTTTTAATATTTAATTTTTGTATGCATGCAATAATAGCGACCTATGCATATGCATACTATGCACATATTTGAGTACATGTGGATTTACATACTCTGTATTTTTTTGGCTGAACAGCGGAAGAAATGTAAATTTCAACTATAACGATTTTTATATTTTCCTCATAAAATTTCGTGTATTGTTTTTAAACAGAAACTGCGGTACAACTCTAATATACGCCCTAATTTCACCAAATGTGGCGATATGTGTTCTGCCCTGGTTTTTGGCACGATTGCGTGTTCTATGGCAACCCCGTTGACATTGAAAAATCTTTCGCTGGAGCTCGTTGATCCGCCTCTGTGTCTGAGAAGATGGGAGGGAAAGATAAAATGGTAGTTGTTGAATTGAAGTTCGGCAAAAGGAAATATCATTGTGGCCCTATCCTGTTGAGGGGTAGTGGGGTATTTGGAAGGTGTGGAAAGAGGGTCTGGGAGATTATTTTTAATGGCAGTGCATGATAGAAGTAGGGATTTGTGATTTTATTTATTTGTGAACCATAGTATAAATTTTCTGGATAGTGTGTCTGGCTGTCATGTAAATACGATAGTGATTAATTACGTGGCGGTATGAAATTTATATTTCTGCTATTCGAAAACGCATTAATTCATGGTAAGTGCATTTTATTTTATCCTTGTTCTTATTTTGTAGAATGTTATGTTCTTTAGTATTCGTTTTTGTTGTTTTTTTAAATTGTTTGAAATTTATTTTAGTTTATTTTGTTGTTTAGTGTCTAGACTGTGCAATTCGTAGATGTTTTTTAAAGTTGAAACAGAACACTGTGTACATGGTATTACTTGAAATTTATTGTTGTTACATCATTTTATTACAAGAGTGCGTAGATCGTAGATTCCTTCCTTGCCTAAATTGTGCAATTCATAGAATTTTTTTAAAGTTTAAACAGGATGCTGTGTACATGGTATTCTTTGAAATTTATTGTTGTTATGTTAATTTATTAAAGCGAGGTATGTGTAGTTTGTAGATTCGTTCATTGCCTACATTGTGCCATTCGTAGATGTTTTTTTAAGTTAAAACATGTCGCTGTGTACATGGATTCTTGTCAAATATTTTTGGTTAGAAACTTTACGTTTTTGCTATCTAAATTTTTTGTTTTTGTTTCGGATTTTCAGCTAAATTGTGTGTTCAAAACGTAGTTTTCGCATGTGCGAAAACCGCGTTTTTGGAGTCATTTTAGGCTAAAAGTTCGAAATGTAGACAAAAATTTAGATAGTAATATGGCAGCGTAAAGTTTCTCGCCAAAAATATTTGGCGACTTGAGGGCGCATATCAGAGTAGTTCCGAAACTGCTTGTGTGCAGTAGTGAACTAAAGAAATGTTTTTCACCAACTCATTGGCAACTTTTCATGGGGGTGAGGATAACTAGAAAGTATTTCTTTTGTACCATGAAATCTGTAAAAATATTATTTGAAGCAACTTTCCTTACACTGATGAGTAAACTGATAATGTACGCTGAAGAGCCAAAACATTATGACTGCCTAATCAGTAACATGTTGTGTGTTCTTTGGCCTGCAAAACAGCTGCAACTCGCCTTGGCATGGATGCCACAAGTTCTTGGTAGATTGAATGTAGACAGGTTGTACCAAATGTCTAAATGTTTCTTGCCAAATGTTTTCTTTGTTACTCTAACCAGTGGTCATGCAAAGTCAATATATTCTGACATGGTGGTGTTTGAGCTCTGAGCCGGCACTTCATGACATCCCCAGTGTACCCTATCAAGTTAAGATCCGGTGATTTGGGTGGCCGTGACCAGGGAATTAGAATTCATGCTTATACTCCTTGAACCACTCCAGTACAATTCCCACCTTGTGGCATGGGACGTTGTCTTGCTGGAAGATTCCATTTCTAGTTGGGAAGACAGACGTCATCTACGTGTGCAACTGATCTGCAATTATGTTCAGATATTCTGCAGCTTTTCATGGTCTGTTTTACTTCAACTAACGGTCCCTGAAATTATAATACTAACACTATCAGCCTGTGTATGACCTGTCGTATTGGGGGAGGAGCAACTGTTCTCGTGGAAGACAGCAGACCTTGACACGACCATTGTAGTGATGAATGAGAATTCGTGATTCATCCGACCCAGGCAACTGTTTTCCACCACATGGTCCAGTCTCAATATTCCCACCCTCACTGTAGGCATAGTTGCCAGTGTCTATCATGGATTTTGCTGTACCAAGCGAAACAGTCTCTGATGTCCTTTTTCTTCAGTGATGTGTGGATTTCCAATATCTTAGCGTCAGTGCTAGTTTCACTGTCATTTATCCACTTTACGTAAATACTAACAACGGCAGATCTTGAACAATCTACCAGTCTTGCAGTTTCGGAGATACTCATTCTGAATCTGGGCCATTACAATTTGTCCTCTATCAAATTTGCTTAGATTAGCAGCCTTTCCCATCACTAGCAAAAGTAAGTGCAAATAGGCTTCTTCTACATAATGATAACAGAGCATTCCTGAAATCTCTTGCAAATTGATATGGCTTAAAGTAAACTTACAGTTAGTATTAATTTTTATGGAAATGACTCACCTCAGGTCCAAAAAGTAAATGAAGGCCAAGTTTTTGTCCAAAAAGTAAATGAATATCCAATTAAATCAATAAAAAGTATATAATATCTAATATGTTAATAGAAGTAATAATTTCTGTATAAATACTGAGTCCAGTTAAATAAAAATAATATAATGAGTACAATTTCAATTTCTAAAATCAGTAAGTAAAGTATAATATATTAGAAGAGATGGCGGACCAGCACATGTAACCTCATAATCAAATAATCAAGTAGTTCTAATGCAGTTCATTTCTCTTTAAAAGTCTAAACTTGTTTATGCAATTCACATATTTTTTTTTAACAAATACATTTATTTATCATTATATTTAAAAAATTTTTCCAGAGTAGAACAGATTTATTTTCTTTGTTACTTGCGAATATTGTCATTCTGTTTTTGTACTGCCTTGCAGCATTTACTAGTTAGCTCTAATTTTAATAATACGTCTGCTAATACAAATTTTATTTCTTAGAAACAATTCAAATTAAATTTCTAAGTAATAACATTTATTTTATGTGACCAGAAAAAGGCTAATTCCCCCCCTTTCTCTTTACAAAT